GATCCACATTTTCTTGACCCTACTGGGACTCGAACTCTGACCCCTCGGTCGTCCAGCCCGTAGGCAGTCGCTATACCTACTACGCTACCGGGGCTCACGTGCATGGGAAGCCTACTGTAGACCGTGGGTTAAAACATTATATAAGCAATTTGTTTTCATTCATGTATTGTATAATAATTATAATTATTATACAATACATGAATGAAAACAAATAATTATTATTAGTCTAATAATTAGACTAATAATTATTAGTCTGCCTGATTCGTTCAGTGTTTCGCCAATCTCCGTCCAAGCGTTTTCTCTTCTCATGCTGTCATAATAGTAGGCATGACTGCAGTCATAGAGGAGATTAATCTTTCCTCGAACGCCATGTCTTGCCTCATTGACACTCAACCCAGGAGACCCAGGAATGACAAAGCGTTTTGGTATGTGTGAAGGGGAATGCGGCGTGCCGCCATGACACTGCTGTGCAGAATGTTTGCCTCTTTGAGCAACAGAGACGATACTATACTATACTATACTATACTATACTAGCACCACACTACTCTAGTGGGCGCACTTCTATTTAAATACACGGAGAGCAGTGCGTCTGCAGCTTTTGCTCTGCACTGCGCGGATACAACACTGTTCTAGTGGGCGAGGACCTTTAGTGCCCAGCCTTTAACCTTGCCTTTCTCTCCCCTACACAAAAACCAGGCTTGTCCCAGCTCCCTTCCCCCCCTCCCACGCTACTGTTTTCACTTGTATACTTGTCCTTCCCCCCTTCCTTTTCTGCTCTCACATAGCTGTGTATATTTCCAACACCAGTCTGCTTTTACTGGTTGTCACGGTCTCTTTGCTTGTAGATTTCTTATATTTTTTCTTCTACCCTGAAGATGGAGGCGATACGTTCCTCTGAAACGTCAGTTAACACCACATATACACGGTGCCAAATCCCAAAAGACTGCTTTCTTGATATATCTTCCTTGGACTAGGTGAAAGATTTGTGTCAAGTGCATTCGAGTCAGCAGAAGAAGATGAACTGACAGAAGACTGAAACTGAAGCACTCAACAGATTTGTCTGATTCTCACTGTCTCATTCTGATTGTCCCACTGAGAGCAGTACCTCATTGTCACAAAGAAGGTATCTGAAAACTACTTTCTTTCTCTATGTTGTATCTGTGCGAGGTTGGTTTCTCTGCTACAAACACGACGGAGAGCGAGAAAGGCTGTGGCTTCAAACACCGCAGGTCTTAAGGGTGTGCCCGTCAACAATCCAACCTTGGTTGGACAAGGGACCTCACGAGACATGACCAAGCACAGGTTTTTACGCTACCATAAAGACTTGTTGTTATTTGGACTCATGTATATTTCTAAAAGTTGGTGAAGATGGTACATTAGAACAAATATTATTGTTTTTGGACATTATCCATGTCCTGTCTTTATCTAAAACCACTGTCCTGCTTATTTTTCAATTTTTTTTAAATAAAAAGGAAGATGATTTTGGATAAAGACAAGAGATGGAGAATGTCCAAAAACATATTTGTACTATTCATGCTTATATTTAAAAAAATCCTGTCCTCTTTATACTTACTGTAAACAGAAAACATTAATATAGCATTACAAGTTTCCATCAAAAAGCAAACTATTTTATTCAAGAACTGATTTTTCATTATTTCATTGAAAAAAAAAAGGTGTGAGAGAGGGGGGAAACATTTCTGAGACCAATACAATACCAATACCAATGGAATACATCACAGGATTTTTATAAATAACATCTTTTTCAATGATATGTAATTTAAATATTTGGAATAACAACCAATGTGGATATAAATTTTAAAAATAAATCTTCCAAAATTCAAGATCAATATCATTTTTAAAAATAACACAATGATCACAATTTTATCAATGAAACTTTCAGACACAATCTTAATACTACTTTTTAATGATAAAATCTCCCCTTAAAAATTGATGATGGTGTCTCCACAATTTTAGATCCCTTTTCAGTGCACCGTGAGTTGAATAGGGTTGAAAAACTCTCTGACATATATATGAAAGAAATATAGCTTCATCGCAAATACAGTATTTTTGAAACCTCTTACGTCAAAGGATAAATATTCTGGTGTTTTCTCCTCCTGTTGGGCCTAATCATGGTTAGTCAAACTGAGTCCAAGCTATTCAATAATGATTATTTCTACTATATTTCCAAAAATATGCTGAATAACAAAGACGGAACAAGACAGTATATTTACCACACAGAAGAGGCTGGAACAAATTAATGTCATAGCAGCATCAGATGCTTGTGGAAATTCCTCTAACAGACAAATTACTCTCCTCTAGTTCCCTGTCCAATACATAAGAGAAATGAAAGTATGCAAGGTTATTGATAAAGTCACTTACTTATTTGATATGCGTGTTGGCTTGCCATCAGTGCCCAATCCTGCTAACTTGCGACACCTATAGTTCTCATAATGTACATTGTTCGTGACATCCTTGAGGTCCTGCAGATGTGTGCGTATCAGCATGTTACGTAATGCTATGAAATCACAGTGCTCCAAGTTCTCCACTATATTGCAACACAAAACAGTTTTCAAATGATCAAGTATAATGTATGGTCACAGTAAATGGAAAAAAGATACATTTAATGTGAATTTATATTAACCTCTATACAGTACACACAGAAGATATTGTATGTGGGTGTCTGGAAGAGTGCTGATGAATAATGTTCTTCTTTTAAGGCAAATTCTGTACATAACATAGGACTAGTTTTTTAGGTTGAGCATAGCTTGAGTAAGCTAACGAATGACACAGAAAAGTTTGCTCCATATAAGGTTTAAAAAAAAACTACTTTTGAAAATGGTGAATGTATGAAAAAGAAACATGCCAATTCCCCTTAGATGCTGCATTGTAAATTTACATAAAATTGTGCATGTACATTATATGAAATTCATCTAAGTAAATCTCCCCCCCTCCACATTTCGATATGAGACAGCACTGTGACAAAGGTCTCCATAATAAGAATCCCACTTATTGAAGAGGTACAATATACTGTAACCATGACCTCTAAATGTAGAACCCTAAATTTTACCAAGAGAATAATACAAAAACATTCTTCATGCCATCTTGAACCTTTAACATTATGCACTAAATGCAGAGGCTGGCTCTGGCGCATTGAAGTCTGTACCTTCTGCAATGCCCCATGGATACTTTCTGCCACGTATCTTCTTGCCATCTACCTCTATCACGGTGTTGGAGCCAACCACAGCAAATGGCACGCGATCTCTCAACACTTTATGCAGTTTTGTTTCTTCCTCATCTTCTGTGTCAGGAAACTCATAGATTTTAATCTTGTGCTGTGAGATCTCATTCAGAACCTGCCAAAAAAAGAAGTCCACTGCGGATAGCATGATTAATATTCTGGCATATATGCTCAAGGCAAGAGCTGTGAAACCAGCAGAGACAGCTGCTGCTACAGCGTGACTCTGCACACCCACCCTTTGCTAGGCAACAGATCTGTAATATGCATAAATGAGGTTACTCGGGTATTTTCTATTTGGTCCATGCGATAGATACATGATGCAACAATACAAGAAATGCTGGGAGAGCTGTTTTCTATGCAGTCTGTGCCAAGGCTATATAATGAGCAGTAGCTGCTGTTACAAGTGAGCCTTGAGATGGCAGTAAGAAGAGTAGGAGCTTGGTGTGAGATGGCAGCGATCCTGGGAGTTAGGCCATTCGAGCAATGAATGAGTGGTGAGACAGTTTCTGGCCAGTAAGGATGTGAACACGGAAGCTGGGGAAGCTATGGCATTGGAAGCTGTTACTAGGCAATAACTGGTGAAGATAAAGCAGACTGAGAAGGAATAGTGCATGCTCTAGTGAATTGTAAAGTGTGTGAATTAGTGATAGCGCTATAGTTACTTGCAGTTACGATCTGTAAATGTTCGCTAAATCCAAGTACTGATCCGAACTCCATCTACAGTCACATACACGAGACAATATCTATATACAGGAAGCCAAAAGAAAAGCAAATGAGTCTCCTGGTAATTATGCAAGTTGCTGAAGTGCAAGCTATTATGGTACTTGAAGATACTTCCATTCCCTTATCTTACCCAACCATGTATAATCATCTAATGGGTTTAACCTAAAAATGAGCTGTTCAAGAAGAGGCATAGGAAAACTACTCTATGGGAAAATGACAATGCAGTTTCCTTCCGACTCCTTGCATTCTGGCAAGGCAGCGCTGCCAATAAAAGTGGCCAGAAGCAAGGAGTATGCACCAGTATTTGAGCAACAAACCCAGAAGTACCCACACCCCCAGAGAGAATGCAACCCTTAGAGACACACTTCAATTCAAACTTTGAAAAAAGGGTTATATTTATATTCTATAAGTTTTGAGAATTTGATTTGGGGTACAATTATGGGTTCAAACTCAACATTGGAAAGGCAGGGAAGGGGAGGAAGAAGAGAAAGGAATAGAGGAAGAAAGGATCTGGTGTCATGTCT